AAAGGAAAAAGGTAAAAGGAATGAATGAATGAATCGCTATTATTCATATACAATATAGTGAAAGATTAATAGAGAAAAACGTTGCGTGGATACAAGACAAAGTCGATTTTTTTTTTCTTTTCCGGCTCATTCAGTTCCAGACACAAAAAATGGGATAAATAGTAAGATATCTCTAAMTGACAAAATGATATCTTAAAGTTTTTCTAAAGCACCGATATCACGCTATTATGGACTAAAATGCGCTTAAAATTCTCTAGAAGCAAGTAAGTGGCTCCTCTCGGACGAACTAATTTATAGAAATCCAATCTTTCTCCGCAGACAGATGAGGGAGATCTGATTATTTCGGAAACTCTTAAATCCCAGTGAAACCCTTCCAAGTGTCAGGTGTTTTCTACACGCACAAAAGAAACAGTTGGAACTAATGCCGCATTAAAAAAGCGCAAAGTTCATGTTTCAATTCATTACATTAATAATCATATAGCGCCAATCCCTAAATCTTTATAATTTTTTTTTTTTTGCTTAAGACCCATTTGTATTTATAGTATAAAAAGCACAATGTCCATGTTTGAAATTAATTACATTAAAAAATATTTAGCCAATTTCTCAAAACAAAAAAACAAAAAAACAAAAAAAATTAATATGCCTTAATCTTAACCGTATATACTTTTAAACATTTTCCCAAAATACTTTTTTTTTATTTAATCCTTCTAAAGCGGTAAAATAATTAGGGATTGGAAGAATAAGGGGTATCGTTGAAAAGTAGTCGATACTCACCTCTTGGTCTAGACTGTTGGCTTTATTTTCCGCTGTTTCTAGTCGGTTGGCTAGCGACTGTAAGACCACAGCAAAAGAAGTTAAACAAGAATATGAATGTCATACGATRTAGATTTAAGGAGGGGAATTTAACCCTGAAGCGAAGACGGGGAGAGGAAGAAAGTAAAGAGTCGAATAATAGTTCATAAGTGGTTGAGTTTTTCTGGAAGACGTTTTTTTTTTAATTAGATAATTACGAACACAGGAATCCCATGACACTTTAGAATGATGGACATTTTRTATCTAATGATAGAATTATTGAGTGTGGTTTTAAACTGGCTTCATATAGTTTCGGTATTTAGAGTAATAGAATCATTTCATAGCAAATACAGATCTATATCTTGTTATCTGATAAGCTAACCATATGAAATAGTTTAGGAATATTTTTCTTTCTCTATTTTTTATAAGAATTAAAGTTATTATTTTTTTTTGTGTGTGTGTGAAAATGATCACGTGAATAGTTACCATAGAAGTGACACGTCAGCCACAAAACAGGCCCCTTTTGCCATTAAAAAATTAAAATCTCGAGTTTCCTGTGGTTAATCTTTTTTAGATTGTGAAATACGAAAGTTTGTTTTGTTACCTATTATATGACAGCGTTTTATTGAAATCTTGACTACAGAAACCAAGATATTAAAGAAATATCGATTTTTCAAGATTTTCTGTAGTCCAAATATTTTTTATATTGCGTCAGTTGCCTTACCATTCTACGAAGAAAAAACTGTAGAAATTTTAAGATATTTGACCACGTAGTTTTCGAGTCTTTATCATTTTTCAAATAAAACATGCAACCACTTTTCGTGACGTCATCAAAATTAAAATCCTTCAAGTTCTGGTACTGCGCATGCTCGTGCGCGCGCGCGTACAAAAACCATTTGCAGCCACCTTAATAAGTTGTGTATAATGATTTAGGGAATTTGTAACAAATTAAGAAAATGGGAGTGGAGACTGGGAACCGAAGTAAAGAAGATAGAACAATCGCTCTAATTGGATGGAATGCGTGACATATTGTGAAAATGAGGATTGCAGACTGGGAAGTGATTGGGTGAATAAGGGTAATATAAAATAGTAAAACAACCCATGCAGAATAGTAAAAGACGTTCGATAAAACCGATGTTTTCATTATAATATTCATTTTAAGTGATAAAAACTAAGAGAGACGTAAAATACGACGAAAAAATAAATAAATAAATAAATAAATAAAAGGGAAAGGTGTAAGATGAGCTGTGTTATCATTATTAGGTTCCCGAGGGATTTCCTATGCCTATTTAAGAGTGGGGTTGGGCGTGAAAGGGCGCGAATTCTTGGAGTCGAGCTCGGAAGTAGTTCGGAAAGGAAGACAACCCTTTGACGACGACAAGACTATTCCTGTGTGGACCGACATGGTTTAAGACAGACGTGTTACACGAGATTTGATTGACATCAGTTTACTCAAAGGTTTTACCTGATTCGACTCTCTAAGGGAAGCAACCTCTTTTTCTAATTTCAGTTTGGTTTGATAAAGTTCTTCTCGAAGATCATGCGACTGCCTGTAATACAATCAATAATTATATTGATTAATCAAACGATAATGTTGACAAAAATCATACATCGCTTCACAGCCCAGCGCAGTAGTTTAGTCATAAGTCTGTGTTAACAACATATTTGAAATGTAACACGAGCGCTGATTGGCGTGTTACCGTGTTTATATCAAAGGACAGATACATGCTCGCGCAAAGTTGTTCAAAAACAACTTATATCTTGATTCCTTAAATAAAGGACTCCATAGGAAAAGGGAGGGGTTTTGGTTATGGCGAGAAGAGCGAAGATGCTGCCCTTTGTGATAACAGCATCAGTTCTGAAGCCCACTTAAAAATTCATCCAGAAACACCTCAAGTATTGGGACAGATTTACCTCTCGGCWTCACTCCTGCCAGTAGTCGCTTTATCAAGCTCGTTGTTGGCATTCTCCAATCTAATTTTGAGTGACGCAATCTGAAAAAGGAAGACATCGCCATCAATTCACTGAAAAAGCCTAGCTTTCAAGTCTATAACACTTTTCAATGTAACTTCTGTAGGAACGGGATATCACTGCAAACATGGAGGAAAATAAAATGAAGAAACAAAAGAAAAAAGCCTTATCTTAACGGTATAAGTGACGTCAATTCCTTTAGTTAGAAAGAACAATAAAAACGACTGTCATGGTGTTSATGTTAACCAACATGGCGGCCATAGGCACCATATTCATGTAGAACAATACAACAAAAGCAAAGGAAGCCCAAAATGTTTTTAAATTCAACCAACATGGCGGCTATGACGTCACATGCACAAGGACAAAGACACGGCGGCCATGTTGGATGATATAACGAAAGAAACCAAGAACCAAAGTCAACCAACATGGCGGCTATGATGTCACATGCACAAGGACAAAGACACGGCGGCCATGTTGGATGATATAACGAAAGAAACCAAGACCCAAATTCAACCAACGTGGAGGCTATGACGTCACATCCACAAGGACAAAAGACACGGCGGTTATGTTGGATGATATAACAAAAAACTATATCGCGTTACACGCACTATACAGAAGATGTGACATACGTCCACACTGCTAATTGTCTCAACAAGTTATTTCATTATTTTTTACTGATAACCAAAATATTTATCTCACCTCGGATTCCATTCGTTTTTTCTCCATCCCATCGTTTTCAAGCCTATTGCTAAGATGCGCATGCTCTTTTGTGCTGCTGGCTTGTAGTGAATCTTTAGCTATTCGTAGTTCGTTTATCATGTCCTCGGCTTTTGTCTATTTAAAATAAAAAGAACGCACTTTAAAAAACAGGGGATTCGCATTCTATCCACGGTTAATGCTGATCTCTTGCAGAAATTCCCCCGGGAGATAATTTATAAAATGGTTTAAAAGAAAGTTTGCTTGAGTTGAATCCATATTCATGTGTCTTCTCATGCACACCGTTAAACAAAGAAGTGATACTCTAGGGAATGACAAGTTGTCTCAAATGGGAAACCCTGAAGGAGAAGAGGTATGGGTGTTTATTAAAAATAAAAATTATAATTATAATAATCAAAAATACTCACCAATTTTTCGGTCTTTCTCTGTAGTTTCTCTCTCAGCGCTTCTAATYCTTTATCAGTAGAGATTATCTTTGCTTCCAAAAGTGCCTTTGTCTCGGCGAGATCAGTCTAGAGGTTTCGAAGAGTAAAATGTCATGATATTGAAGACTCACTCTTTTCCCTTAATTTTATATGATTTTATAATTCAAAAACGGAAATAAACATTTACGCTGTAGGATTCTACACGTCCATTGTTTCCCCCCTTTCTTCTGTTGTTAAGGCAGAAACACGTGACTAGCCTGTGCTTTAWGAAACTGTTTCCGTGGCTATCCGCTATACACCCTTCTCATGGCTGACAATTGAACGAAAACGAGGTCACCCAGTCATTATTTCACAATAAAAGATATAAAATCACATGAAATGACTTTAAAGAAGAAAAGTATAAAAAATGACCTTTGTTTTGATCTGAATTAGTGCTAACAGCCTCTATTTTGAATGAGCAGCTCAACCTTGCAAGATGACTGGGTGACCTCGTTTCCGTGCGTTCATCAGTCATTATGGGAAGGGTGTATTGGGTTTGGTCTATATTTATCTTCCCACATTTCCGTTGTCATATTGAAGTTCCCGCCAAAATGAAATCACGTGACTAACCTATGCTTTAAGAAACTATTTCCGTGACGATCCGCTAATGGCTTTGGTCTATATTTATCTTCCCACATTTCCGTTGTCATATTGAAGGTCCCGCCATAATGAAATCACGTGACTAACCTGTGCATTCATCAGCTGTTCCCGTAGTGACCCGCTATGGGCCTCATGCGTCTTTCTTGTTAGATCAACAGCCTCCAGTTCAGCCATAACTTCAGCTTTCTGCTGGGTGGTGGTGCGCGCTTCCTCCATTAGTACAGACATCTGTTTCTTAAGGTCATTGTACATGTCGGTCATTCTTAAGCGAGTCTCTTGCTCATCAGATAACGCCTTCTGTAGATCATTCAAGTCCGCTTCTTGTTGATGGACGGTTTGTTGGAGATCTTTCTTTTCTTTCTGTAGATGGCGGATATCTGTCTCTAGCTTCTGCCTCGCCTCCATTTCCCTACCAAACCAATGATACACATGYCAGTAAAAGTTTAGGTGAAAAAGATAGGTTAAGGACCACATTATAAGTCTATTGTTAGTTCATTCATTTATAATACACTTAACAAAATTAATCGATTCTGATTGGACAAGAGTAGTACAATTAAATCCCAAATTCTACTCTGTAGAGTCCAAATTAAGGCCCCGTCCACAAGTATCCGGAATTTTTTGTATCCGCAAATTATTTTTTGCGGATACGAAAATGTTCGCGTCCACACGCAGCGTATTCGAATCGKTTTCACCGTCCACACGTATCCGTTTTCGTAAAATTTGCGGATACGGATACAAAAATTTGCGGACACGTGTGGACGCCACCCGTATCCGCAAAAAAAAAAAATTGCGGATACAAAAATTTCCGGATACGTGTGGACGGGGCCTAAGTTGCTCAATTTTTTTAAAAATTGTATTATAAACAAAAAATCACACGATACTAACAGGGATCAAGTGCGCAAAGTATCATGGGTCAAAATATCCTCTTCTATCCGTCTAAAGTAAAGCCTGGTTCAAGATAAAATTGTGGATAAATTTCTTTCTTTCTTAATCTACGAGTGCTTAAAATAGTTTCTTTTTTTTTGCGCCGAAATCCCGGAAATCGCAATTCAAACGGCTCCTTTTCATGATATAAGATAACAAAACTCGGATGGAAATACAGCTTTTAATTAATGAGGTGCTTGAATCGTGGCTTCGCGGTTATTCTTGTCTAGGAATAATAATTGAAATCTGGCGCCAACAGAAAAAATGAATATCCAATACGCATCTTCGGCTCTGACGTAATGTTTTCCCATTTCAGACCACGTGTCATTCCCTTGAGAATAAGATTCTTTGTTTGGGCTGTATCCATATTCATGTGTCTTCTCATGTGCAACCGAGCGCAAACCTTAAACAAAGAAATGATACTCTAGGGAATGGCACGTGGTCTGAAATGGGAAAACATTACGTCAGAGCCAAAGAGGTCTATTGCTGGTTAATCATTCACATAGAAATTGCATAACAAAATAACTGGTGTCCTGACTTTGACCTGCGCAGAGTGTTTCAACGTTCTTCGAATTAGCCGTGCTCTGACTTGATCACCCCAGTGATTGTTTCAGAGCTCGATATCCTGACTGATTTAGCCCTGCCCTGAATTTGTTTAGGCAAGCGGTTGCTTCAAGCTTCWGTGGCTTARCCATGCCCTAAGGTTGTSGGTTGTCTCAGGGATTAAYTTTTTAGTCGATGTATTTATYATTATATATTTCAATGATAAAAAGGTAAATTATACACCGTGAAAAGATGAAAAAACTTACTGACGTTTCGGACGCTAGTCCTTCGTCGGAGTAAGAGGAAGGACTA